TCACACAAATGCTTTTAAAAGCTGAAATACTATTATTTTCATTATTTTTACCCTGCTTCGTCTCATTATTGGAAATTCTTCAATAAAACCCACCACTCTAATACCATCCAGTCTTCCCTTCTTAACAAGGGAAATTTGCAATTCTTGAATTGATTTCAGCCCTAAGTGCCATTGGCCGGCCCTCAATGGGGTCAATTTAGATGCTGATGAACAGCAAGATTTTTAAACACACTCCACATGGCACACAAGGACTTTTCCTCTGTTGGAGTGGTCATCCAGATAGTTTAAAGTTTGGAAAGCTCTCATCCATGTTTCTAAATCGGTGTTTACTTTAAGATTTATTGATGATTTGATTGACATTTTGAAGGTATGCTTATGTTTGTGCATGCGTCAAGTTAGGTGGGTTAATAAAACTGCTGAACATGTTGACTCAATATCTTACAATAAGTACATGTAGTGAAATAAGGACATCATCATTACTGTACCAAGGGTTTTCATTTTAAATGAATACATTTGTTTTTAAATCTGTTTCTGCATCATCTTCCACATCATGCTGTTTCTCCAGTTTGGTGCACACTAAAGGCAGGTAACTCTCAGTGTACTCTGGTGTATAACAACCTGTAATAATTTGTGAGAAAGCCTTTAGTGGGAATGCCTGATCAGGATCTAAACCTGGTTTTCAAAGTCAAGCTCCTGTGTAAACATTTGTTAAAGAAACAACTTGAAATGTGACAAATTTTGAAAATTTCAACATTTGATTAAATATATATTTTACACTGCTGGGTGTACGATTCTTTACTGAAACAAGTATTTCAGAAGATTTATCTTAAATTTACACTGACATTTTGTTAATTTTTCGAAACTGCCTTTGTGCATATTAAAATAACTTAAGTAACACAAAAAATGAAATTGTACTGGCCTTACATGCTACTTTACCTTACATGCTACTTTACCTTACATGCTACTTTACCTTACATGCTACTTTACCTTACATGCTACTTTACCTTACATGCTACTTTACCTTACATGCTACTTTACCTTACATGCTACTTTACCTTACATGCTACTTTACCTTACATGCTACTTTACCTTACATGCCACTTTACACATGCTGCTTTACCTTACTTGCTACTTTACCTTACAACTTTACATGTTAATCATGAAAGGTCACATAATAATGCTATTCTCTCATCTCACATAATGACCATAAAAAAGAACATTATCTGCAAGTTCTCAAACAAATGTACAATGGACAATTTAGCTTCCATTACTGAAAATAAAGATATATTTAACTCTAGTTTCAATATATTTAATGACATTTTAATGGAAACCTTACACTATTTGTATTTTAGAGATTTATTGTCAGTCTTGGTTCAAGCCTTCAGTGACATATTGTTGGATACTCAACACACCGACCTGCTACCCACTTGCCTCTAGGCCTGAAAGGCTTTCAAGCAGAACCTTCAAACTAACATCTGTATCATTGCTATGATTCTCACATTCAAATTTTGTTACAATCTAATTCAGCAGGCAGTATAAATATATTTTCATGCATAAGAAGAATTTAACCTACTCGTTACATTTAACTGCATCTCATTCAGTAGGTATGTAATTAGTAGATAATTTGTTGAATAAGCATGACCTATTCTCATAACCCCTGCCCCCAAAAGACATCCTGCACACGATCTCGTTTGAATTTCAATTATTGTTAAAATGCTTTATCATCTAAATGTACTGTGTTTCACATAGGGAAAATATGATGACAAAAGGTAAATAATGCACTCGATTCCATGGCTGTAATTAACGTCTTTATCAGAACAAAGATATTAGTGAGTAACAGGGACGACAGTAATCAATATTTAGGAACACACCCAAACTTAAATAGCAACATGATACTCCAGAATGCGTTTACTTTTTGTTGTAACAAGGTGCAAGTTGCAGTCATTGTTGTAGGAATTATTGAATCACAACAGGGCATCTCAGAGGAAGAAGGATGGCAGGACTTGTTCTCTGTCAGCAGTCTTTCTCTTATCTCATCATCTGATATGTGTTTTTGCATTTTCATTTGTCTGGCTATTAAGGTGTTATCAGATAATGCATTTACTTAAAGCAATATGTCACCATGGACAAGAATGGAATTATGAAATAAATGTAGAAAATTTTAAAATTTTATATTTAGTAAATAACGTTTTTTTTCTTTGAATTTGATGTGATCAATGATCTGTATGCAACCTTGAAAAAAACATGTTAAAAGTACTGAAATTAATTACACTTGGTTTTTTTAGTTAATTTAACTTGGATGGCAAACTACCTGCTGTTCGTGTGTAATTAATATAGACTGAATCCATTTGATGAATTTGATGAGTTCAGTAATAACATCATTGTGATGATTATGACTCTGCTTCCTGGCTGAATTCCTGGTTTGCTGGAGGTATTAAAATTTGAACGTACATTTTCCAATTTGCAATGAACAGAACTTCAGCTAACACACCAGGTACAGACTTCTCCAGCTAACATATGTTGTTCAGAATCTGATTTGATGCCCCCAGTTTTCAACTTTTTCTAACCTTTCCTGATACACCTTGATAAAACTTAGGTTATTGAGAGTTAAACCATGAAGAAGTTTCATAACATGTAGGTATTACATCTGTTGAATCTTTAAATTCAGCTCTTACAACGAACAGAAACACACTTAATAGAGGGGCGGTGGGGTAGCCTAGTGGTTAAAGCGTTGGCTCGTCACGCCATAGACCCGGGTTCGAATCCCACATGGGTACAATGTTTGAAGCCCATTTCTGGTGTCCCCCGCCGGGATGTTGCTGGAATATTGCTAAAAGCTGCGTAAAACCAAACTCAGTCAGTCAGTCACTTAATAGAACTTAGCTAACACACAAATCTCTTCCTTGAGATAATCCAGCTAATGTATATCATTCAGAATCTGATTTGATGCCCCAATACTGCCAGATGATAGTGTGAAGAAATCATTGAGATACAGTTTTATTGAGCTGGAGCATCCTTTATCCTTTATCACCCCCTGCAGTCATATCAACCACCTCGTTACCTGGCTGCTATAGAGGGCCGGCCAGTATTGTGAACTTGGAGGAGTCGGGTCAGGGGTCACCGAGCCTGCCGATCCAAGTGCTGTCATCCACTCACACCTGTAACGAGCGGTCTCTAGCCAGGTGTATCTGTTTGACCGTCAGTAGCTGATTCTCGTGGTCAGTGTTTGGATGTATTGTCAAGGGACGCTAGCGTAATCGTGCGGCTGTGTGTGACTCGGTTTTGTATCAGTGGATGGACATTTAGCAGAGTAGGCAGGTATGTGGTTTGAGTGGCATATTTGCGTGTGGGATATTTGTGGGGCATGTAAGAAGGAGTAGGACAGGTATGTGATGGCTGGCAATACTTGCTATACACTGTAGTGTTGACTGTTGCGTGTTCTTCCCACACTGGAATACCATCTCAGTTCAATACATTTCCTCAAGTAGTACTGACATAAATCTATACATATATATTTACTGATTCAGCTATTCATTCACTCAAACATACAGTATATATTTCTCTACAGCTGATCCATAATCAGTAAATATATAATACGTAACATTACATCAGCACCTCAAGTTGTAAAAGTTTCCTTCACAGTTGGAAAGTGTGCATAAATGTCATTAAGTTTTCATTTTAAGTCTTCAATTTTAAAACATGGCAAAAACATTTTTAATATATTTTAAAGATGTGCTATCGCTGTGAAGTATCATTCATACTTCTGTCATTACTTTTTATTTGTTGCTTTCACTTCCGAGTATCATAATCGTGTAAGATTTTATGTCCAGTTTTGATCTCAGTACATTTTTCATGAGTCCAGTATTTTTTTATTTTGAACAAAATTAAACCTGATCCCATAAACAAGTTAAACTATTTTTTTCATTCTATGCGTTGAGATTTATGATTGCCTTATCGAGGAAGCTTGTGATATCATAACAAGGCGTGAATCTCTCTAGGTCGTAGAGTATGTAAGTCAGGATGAGAGCCCTGGTCCGTCCTCCGTGTGTACAGACAGTTTACAATGTTCACAGTGGAGACATGCAGCAAGGATGGTGCATGCACTGAGGCGGACACACCGGTCTTAGGCCAGACACTTGTGATTTTGCCCTTAAAATTTTGTATAGATTAATTGGGACAGTAAAGGTAGGGGAAGATTACCAGCTGTGACGATGATGGGGAGGTTTAAAGGGGGACCTCAAATACTATGGGGTAGTACTGAAGTTATGCTGTCAAGGTCTGACTGAACTGGTGGGTACTGAATTCTTTGGGTGAAGCTGTGCAATTATCAATTGTTAAGAATTGTTAAAGTCTAAATGGTTATAACACAAGTGTATGAGTGACATGTCTGTTTATACATCATATCAGATTTATAAACAAATATTATTAACATTAAGCTCTGACCCTTCAAATCCATATAAACACATTTTTGCAGATCTTTCACTCTTCCTTGGGTCAAATTTAATATTTCCTTTAACTTCACAGATCTCTTCATTTCAGTAAAATAAAATACAATACTGTCGTAATAAATGCTATAAACTTTTAAAACTCCTGTAAGTGTCTTCTCAGAAGCTACAGGATATAGGAAGATAAAGGTTTGGTATGATGTCTAGCAATACTACGGTCCCATTAATTCACAGAAGACAATTTTGTACAAAATATTAATAAATATCCTTGTACACTGTGTTATAATTTATAGTTATTCACAAATGGTTCTTCCTCCAAACTGCAAGCACAGTAGAACTGAAACTTTGTCGGGATGTACATTATTTTAGTATGACATGGATTTGTCATTTGTGAACCTATTAAAAGCACACTTCCTTAATTGATAGGCACGAAAATATGTCACAACATTTTAATTTTAAGTCACTCAGGTCAAGAGAACTACAACAAAGTTTTTCTGATGTAAATTACTACTTTGACTTTGAGCAATATTCACGTTCTCCTTCTATTTATTGCAGGTTTAGATACTGCATTTTGTCATCCCTTGAAAGTGACATCACCACCAGCCTTTCACGGGGATTAACTTTACGTGGTGTCCCTGTGCCTCTGACTTTTCCATGTGGGGAAGTACCATTGGATTGTACCTGTATTTGCATATCGGAGGTGAGTAATGTGCCCGTTGTTTTTGTGTGACAGTGTTATGGCCGAGAGATAGGTTGTGTCACATAACAGTACATAACACAGACAGTTTATTGTTTCTATTGTAGTACAGACTTAACAAAGAGATAGTGGAAGCTAAATGATGGTAGCAAGACCTTTCATGGAGGTACTGTCTTAGTGAAGCGTATTGATTTGAATATGTCTCTTTGGAAAGAGATCCTTTGTTTGGTGTTTGTTTGATTTAGGCATTCTACCTCTGAATATGTAGATAAATTTCTCGTAAAGGTGCATGCCATATATCTAAGAACAATAACAACATAAATGTATGGTTGAGGAGACCCGGTGGTTTATGATGTCTGACTCTATAAGTGAGTGAGTGAGTTAAAATTTATTGTAACTTTGGCAATATTTCAGTCATATCGTGACTTAAAAGGGTCATATTTAAATAATTTATAAAGTTATATCTCAAAATCTGTCTGCGAAGGACAGTAAATGAACTAGAATATCACAGTTAGAGATTTAAAACTAGTGAGTCTGACTCTATTAAAATTAGGAGGAAGAACTATCATCTTCGTCAATTAAATTTAGGTATTACCCTTTTCTTTTTTAAGGTAAAAAATTAACCTTATTTTATCAATCAGTATTTTATGAGCTTAAATCAAGTGTTCCAGTCTCAAAATTGAAGATGTGTTTATTTTTAATGGGATAAACATTATTTTGGTGTAAGTTAATTCAGTTATCGAATGTAAAGATTAAAGGTATCAGTCTGAAATTGCGTGTACGCAGAATCAAAGGGATTCTGGTGACCACAAATTTAAAACGTTGAATAAATTTCCAGAGGAACATTGTTCAATATTGACACAGCTCAATGGCTTCTGTAATGACAAAGGATTAACCCTCTCAGTGTCAGACTTCCAGCGTCAGGGGCTGCTCATCCACAGGTTCACAGTGCCACTGTGATAACCCGATAGCTTGGATGGGGAACCTTTGAGGGCGATCTTGTAACTTTCACCAGCTTATTGAATCCTCAGGTTCACAGTGCCACTGTGATAACCTGATAGCTTGGATGGGGAACCTTTGAGGGTGATCTTGTAACTTTCGCCAGCTCATTGAATCCTCATCAATGAACAGGGCAGTAACACCTCTCAGTTTTATGGCCAGAACAGCAAATCGGATACCTCCTTTTGTATATTTCGTGCAGATGATCTGGACTTGATAAAGCCAGGCTCTTTTCACAGGACCGAACATCACTTGATGTTGATAACATGAGGCTTGATCGGGATTCAATGACATCTTTCTCTAATTTTCTATGACATGTTTGCTGTTTTGAATTCTAACTGGCTAGTAAATGTTGATTGAGTGGGAACCTCCAGACCGTATCACTGATAGATCTCATGCTGCTGCTGGTGATGACACACACCTTCATCATCAACTCTTCCAGTCTCTCTCTCACAGTTGGAAATAGAAGATGTTGTCATTTTTGGGGTGCATATTTGATCAACCCAAACCAACAAACTTAAAAAAATAAAACATGTTTTCAATTTGTTGCTATTTACCCTACTCTGCATGCTTGATTGAGTGGTAAATAAAAAGATACAACTCTAAACATCTATGTAAGATTTACTTCTACAAAATATCACAACCTTTGGTTCTGATTGATGGATGAAAGGCATTATGTGATGTTATTGCAGTTTGGTTGCTTCCTTATTTATTAAGTCAGCAACCCTGTGAAGGTCCAGGTTAGAATATTGATCTTCAGTAACCCATGCTTGTCGTAAGAGGCGACTAACGGGATTGGGTGGTCAGGCTCGCTGACTTGGTTGACACGTGTCATAATTTCCCAATTGCGCAGTTCAAGGCTCATGCTGTTGATCACTGGATTGTTTGGTCCAGACTCGATTATTTACAGACCTCCACCATACAGCTGGAATATTGCTGAGTGCGGCGTAAAACTAAACTCACTCACTCACTATTAAGTCAGCAATTCGGGGCAGGAATATGTCTCCAGCGTAAAGTGGTTGTCTTTGTAACCAAATGATATAGCATGTTACTCATGATGTCGACCACTTGGTTATTTACATGCCACAACACATTGCTGGAATATTGCAGTGTGCAGCAACGAATAAACACATATCTACCTGTTATCAGTTATTGGATGGCACAGTTGTCTAAGGTGCTGCAATTTACAAGATCCGGGTAGAATAGGTCTTCACCTGTTATCAGCTTATATCTGACTTGGTTGACACATGTCATCAGTTCCCAATTAGCAGATCAATGCTCATGCTGTTGATCACTGGATTGTCTGGTCCAGACTCGATTATTTACAGACCGCCATATAGCTGGGATATTGCTGAGTGCTGCAAAACTTTACTGTGCTGAGTTGCATCCCTTGCATATGCCAGAAACATGTGATCCTGGGTTCAAATCCCATTTTGGGACCTAGTATTTACAGGGGCGTAGATATCATTATGAAAAAAAGCCCGGGCTTACACATGATTGTTGCTAAAAAGGTTAAGCAAGCCCTCAATACTATCTAAATATATAGCTTAGCACCCTATCAGGCTTACGCGAGAAAAAAATTGGCTTGCAAGGCTCCTGATTTATTTTTACACCTTTGATTATAGGTACAAATCGCAGTTCAAACTGATCTAGTATGTAGTTTCAAACCTATGATCCTGGGTTCATATCCAAGTTGAGCCTGATATAGTATGGAGTTAGACAGTTCATCAGCACCTCATATCAATGATTGCAGGTCAAATTCAATCAAGTTGTAAATGTTAAAGATTAACACTCTCACCTTACCATAACCAGTTCTGCTCGGACACCATTACTGAAAACCTTGATGTTAGTTCTGTTGACATACACCTTCATGATCAAAGTGCACTTTAATGTTAGTTCTGTTTACATACACCTTCATGTTAGTTCTGTTTACATACACCTTCATGTTAGTTCTGTTTACATACACCTTCATGTTAGTTCTGTTTACATACACCTTCATGTTAGTTCTGTTTACATACACCTTCATGTTAGTTCTGTTTACACACCTTTTAAAGTCATTGTCATCTCATCAAAGCCATTTCATTTCAAAGCCATTTCATGGATGCTAACTGATTCAGAAGTAATCCAGTTCCAAGGATTAGACAAATCTTTGAAGGAAATATGCTATTTTCTGTCTGACTCATTACATGTGAGACTAAATAAAGCTGGAATAATTTGCTAAACCATATCTCATAATTCCCCTCATCCGATTAAATTCTCTGTAATTTAGTAACTCGATTAGCAGCGATGTCCCCTATGCTTGCTTCCCATGCTGGTATTCTTGAGACAACCTGATGGTATTAATGTCGCATTATGAAGGTGACAGTCCGGAAGAAGTCTGTCGCCTACTTCAAATACTGTTAATTAGTCTTGCAGTGCATGTGACTTGATCAGGGTAATTAGAAAAGCCAATTAGTAGAAGGATATTGTTCCTGGGAGGAGTGTGGAAAACCAAGATAATACTGGACACCAATTACAGACCAGTTCAGAGGTGCTAGAGTGCTTTTTTGTGTGCATATCACTAATTTTGGCAATTGCTCTACACTGGACATAAATTCAACTGTTTAATGCTCAGTTTGTAGGAAATGACTCAGAAAATTTAATATGTGTAATTTAGATAAGATCTTTATCAAACTAGACGGAAGTGTTACATCAAAATGTTACCGGTAATGAATTTATCTGTCTTGGTAAAAAGGTGCACAAAAAATATTGAAGAGATTTGTGAAGTTACTGATTTAGAATAATTTGATGTGAAAAATCTGTCCAGACGAAAGATCGACTGAGATTAAAGTCCTTAAAATAGACTATTGCAATAACACACATTCAAAAATAAGGCCAGACCAATTTTATTTATTGTTTACGGAGTTTTGTCCTCAGAAAACCTAAAGGCAGGAGGGAAAAATAATAATAAATAAAATCACCAGTCAAAGTAATATTTTACGTTTGGCAATTTATGAAGTGTATATGGGTAAAAAAAACAATGTAAAAAAAACCTTTTTTTGTAAGTTTACATTTTTGGCCAATAAAAAACATTAGGATTTTATTTTTGTGCGGGGAATTTTTTTTTCTTTTTTTCTTATTCTTGAAAAAAATTCGACAGGCGGATCCGTGAAACAGGAAATAAAATTGGTCTGGCCTAAATAAAAAATAATATGTTAGAGTAAAGCAGTTAGTGAACATTGTCTTACTTTTGTAATGTTTGGGGCAACACTTACATAAAATATGAAAGAAATTTATATGTAAATACTAAAAAAAATGAAACATAGATTTCTAATTAATATGTTTATGAAAAGAAAATAAGACTAGATAGAGTAACTGCACACAATACAGCCTTGTTTCTGGGAACTTGACTAGCTGAATAGCATGTTGTGTTTTTGTACAGGAGAATTGGCAACAAATTGTACTTTTAGAGTTAAACAGACAAGTTTGATTAATTATCAGAGCATTTGTTTTCTGTAGCCCAGATTTTGATGTCAAACTAAGGCCAGACCAATTTTATTTCTTGCTTTACGGATTTTTGTCCTCAGAAAACCTAATGGCAGGAAGGAAAAACAAAAAAAAAAAAAAAAAATAAATACTACAAGTATATTACTTTTGGGAATTTATGAAGTGTATATGGGGCAAAACACAATCTAAAAAAACTTTTCTTGTAAATTTACCTGTTTGACCAATAAAACATTAGGATTATATTTTTTGAGCGGGGGAAAATTAACTTATATTTTTTTTCTTATTATTGAAAAAATACGACAGGCGGATCCGTAAAACAAGAAAAAAAATTGGTCTGGCCTTATCAGTGTACATTTGAGCACCAATGTCTCGATATTCATGGGACCAAGAAAAAATATCGAGTTATCTGAACTTCGAGACATCCGACCAGGGTATATCATCACATATCACTATGAAAGAAAGCAAATGCTTCTCAGTATGTTTTGATACAATACGTGTATACGAAACTATAATACGTT